AAAATTTCTTCTCTGGAAAAACAAATAGAAACTTTAAGTGTTTCTCGCCAATCTCTGTCTCAGAATCGTAGTAGCAATAGATACAGAAAGCGAAGTAGAAGTAATAAACATAAAAGATTTAATCCAAATGGAAAGTATTGTTATTACCATTACATGTTTGGCTCAAAATGAATTCCTGAAAAGTGTCAACCTAACTGCTCTTGGGCTCAAAATAAGTCGGAAAACTTAAACCAGCAGTGGAATTAGCAGCTGATTTTGCTGCAGGTTATGTTCAGGATGGCCGCAAAGACCGAATATTTGTGACTGACAAACACACGGGTTTGCTTTTTCTAATTGATTCCGGCACAGATGCTTGTTTATTACCTGCTACAATAAAAGATAAACAAAAAGTGATTTCAAATTATATGCCGCCAATGGCACAGAAATTCCCACTTATGGGGTAAAATTTTTAACGTTTGATCTTGGCCTTCATCGAGCGTTTCGATGGCCATTCATTATTCCCAAAATTAATAAAGGCATAATCGGAGCAGACTTTTTGGACCATTTCAAGTATTAATTGATTTAAACAACAAAAAGATGGTGTAATTAACCTTACTACCCAATGTGACATTACATCCATATCCAAAATGAATGATGTAAGTTTAGTACATGTTAAAAAGTTAAATTAGTACATGTAAAGTTAAAATATCATGATCTGTTATCCAAGTATCCGAATATTACAAAACCTATTCTTTTGATAACAAATGTTAAGCATCACATTTTAACTGAAGGTCAACCGGTGTATTCCAAGCCAAGACAGCTAGAAAGTAAAAAGTTAGATTGCCAAACAAGAATTTCAGTATATGTTGGAAAACAATATAATCAGACAGTCTAAAACTCCATGGGGTAGTCCTCTGCTCTTAGTCTCTAAAAGAGATGGAAATTTTCGTCTCTGTGGAGACTATCGAAAACTTAATGCTATAACTATTCCTAACAGATACCCTATCCCTAGGATTACTAATTTTAACCATATTTTAAAAGACAAAAAAATATTTTCCAAAAATTGATCTTTTCAAAGCCTATTTCCAAATTCCTATAGCCGAAGAGGACAAACAGAAAACCGCCATAATTACGCCATTTGGCCTCTATGAATTTAATGTAATGAGCTTCGGTTTGCGAAATGCACCAGCTACTTTTCAAAGATTCATACATGAAGTATTTCAAGGTTTGGACTTCACTTTTCCATATCGATGACGTATTAATTGCTTCTGCCTCAGAAGAAGAACACAGACATCACTTGAAACTTGTTTTCGATAGATTAGATAAATACGGTTTGAGAATCAACATTTCTAAGTCGATATTGGGTGTTGATAACTTAGAATTTTTAGGATATCTTATAACACTGGAAGGATCTCGTCCTCTACCTGAAAAAGTCGAAGCAATATTGAATTATAAATTACCAGAGACTATCCATGATTTGCGAACTTTCTTAGGGATGCTTAATTTTTATCGACCGTTTCTGCAAGATACTGCTAAGACACAAGCAATACTTCATGAATACCTAAAGGGTGCTAAGAAAAAAGATAGAAGAAAAATTAAATGGTCAGATGAAGCTATATTTAACTTTGAAAAATGTAAACAGGATTTAGCAAATGTAGCTCTTTTAAGTTATCCCAATTCAGATTTGCCCTTGTCACTATGCACGGATGCATCTGATTTGGGCTATTGGTGCAGTTCTCAAACAGTTTGAAAATGGAGCATGGAAACCTTTAACGTTTTATTCAAAAAATTAAATGGCACTCAGAAAAATTACAGTACTTATGATCGCGAGTTACTGGGAATATATCTTGCAATTTAAACATTTTAAACATATGTTAGAAAGTCGCGATTTCAAAATTTTTACGGATCATAAACCACTAGTTTATGCTTTTCAGACAAAAGAGCAAAAATGGCATCACCAAGACAAATGCGCCAATTGCAATATATATCTCAATTTTCTACTAACATATACCATATTAGTGCAGAAGTGAAAACATTGTTGCAGATCAGTTATCCATGAATAGCCGATATTCTCTATTTCACTTCATTGATTATGATAAAATTGCAGACAAACAAGTTAATGATAAAGAATTAAAAGATTTACAAGCTCAAAAATAAAGCGTTAAATTTCAAAAGTTATTTACTTCCATCTGGTAAAAATTGTATGGTATGATATGTTTTCTTCTAACATCAGACCATTTATACCCAAGCAGTTTAGAATGGAACATATTTTCAACAAATCCATGGCTCGCTCATCCAGGAATCAAGTCGACCGTTAAGAGAAATGACGTCCAAATTTATTTGGCCAAATATCAAAAAGGATATACAAACATGGAGTCATGCCTGTATTGGTTGTCAAAAAAATAAGGTTTCACTTCATACAAAGTCTGAAACTAGGAACTTATCAGCAGCCTGATAAGTAAATAATTCAGACTGATAAGTTTTACTAATAGTTCACATTGACTTAATAGGTCCATATTCACCATCTGATAATTTTGTGTATTGCTTGACTTGCATTGATCGCTGTACTGGTTGGATGGAAGCCATTCCTTTGCGTGTGACATAACAGCAGAAACCGTTGCCAGAGCTTTTTATTAACAATTGGATCACTCGTTTTGGAGTTCCTTACCAAGTTATTACGGAATCGTGGAGCACAGTTTACTTCTGAACTATTTCGAAACCTTGGCAATTATATGTTGAAGGCAAAATTCAACATAGCAACTTCCTGTCATTCACAGTGTAATGACAAAATTGAGAGATTTCATCGAACTTTGAAACTTGCTATCAAATGTTCATAATTCCATTAAGTGGTCTGAATCCATTCCAACAATTCTTCTGGGTCTTAGGGAAGCCTTAAAAGAAGACTGTGGATATTCCATTGCACTAATGGTTTACGGGAAAACACTCAAACTTCCTGGAGAATTTTTTGATAAACCAACAGTCTCTACAACACCTCAAACATTTTTGCATCAATTGCAAAAACAAATGGAATTGTTTAAACCCTTTGCGGTACAGCGAAAAAGGATTCCTAAAGTTTTTGTCCATAAAGATCTAAATGTGTGTACTCATGTTTTCCTAAGAACTTCCTAAGTCAAGAAACCATTAGAATCTAGTTATGAAGGACCTTTCAAAGTACTTAAAAGAATGGAAAAATACTTCTTGTACTTCTTGTTACAAATCAAAGGTAAGGAAGTAAACATCTTGATTGACAGGCTAAAGCCAGCCTATTGTTTAATATCAGATGAGCAAAGGCTAGAACCAGAAACTTCTCACACCCAGCCCAAGACTCGTTAAAATCTGAGAACAATGATGCACGACCTCGAGTCTCACGAACTGGACGACTAATAAAACGTCCTTTACGTTTTAGTAACAATGTTAAATATTTTTCCTAACCTCTATTATTGATTATGTTTAATTGTGATTTATTTGTTGGATTTAATATTTTTAATCATAATGTAAGCTTACACTGCATTACTCCACTACCAGAATCTCTTAAATCGTAACATAGTTACTGGAGGGGGAGTAATGTAGTGGAACATAATTTAATGTTTCTATATAATTATTAAGATTTCCTAAGTGGCAACATGATGCAATGTTTTGAATAGTTATTAAGATTTGCCGTGTGGCAACGAGTCGAGGTAAAAACGTTGTTACTTCTAGCGTTCGTTGATAAGCGTTGCGTAAGCTTTATTTCTTAAAAGTTTGTTAACAGTAGGAATGGATGCACGTGTGTGTGTATGTATGTGCATAAATGTGTATATCTACATATGCAGTTATACATTCATACTTACATATATAATATATGCATAAATGAACACACACATGCATACATACATACATTTCTGAATCCAGTCCTGATAACAGAACAGTGCCTTAAGTATTGTAAATGATTCCAAAAAGTTATCTAAGTAACTTAAATCTGAAATTGTAATGCATTCTGAAAATATTTATATTACATTTAAAATTAGCTGAAAAGTATGAGTAAAGAAATTTAGAAATGAACAAAAAATTGACATATTTTTCTGTAATGTGAGGTTTTAAATTGTGAAATTTTGAAAACATTTTTTTTTTTTAAATCTTATTATTCTGAGTGTTAATTTCTCATGAAGGAATTTGTAATATTGTTAGTAATACACAAATGGTTTTTAGATTATTTAAATTGTTTGTTTTTTTATTAACCTCCCTTCCAAATATATTTTTTAAACTGTGAGATGGACACTTCGTAACAGTATGAATGGATGCATGCATGTGTGTGTGTATGTATGTGCATAAATGTGTATATCTACATATGCAGTCATACATTTATACTTATATATATAATATTTGCATACATGAACACACACGTACATTTCTGAATCCTGTCCCTGATAACAGAATAGTGCCTTACGTATTGTAAATGATTCCAAAAAGTTATCCATGTAATTTAAATCTGTGAAATTGTAATACATACTGAAAATATTTATATTGCATTTAAAATTAGCTGGAAAGTATGAGTAAAGAAATTTAGAAATGAACAAAAAATTGACATATTTTTCTGTACTGTGAGTTTTAAATTGTGAAATTTTGAAAACATTATTTAAAAAAATCTTATTAGTCTTAGTGTTAATTTCTCATGAAGTAATTTGTAATATTGTTAATAATCTCTGTGAAATCGTAATGCATTCTGAAAATATTTATATTACATCTAAATATTACATCTAAAATTAGCTGAAAAGTATGAGTAAAGAAATTTAGAAATGAACAAAAAATTGACATATTTTTCTGTACTGTAAGGTTTTAAATTGTGAAATTTTGAAAACATTTTTTTAAAAAATCTTATTATTCTCAGTGTTAATTTCTCTTGAAGGAATTTGTAATATTGTTAATAATACATAAATGGTTTTTAGATTATTTAAATTGTTTTTTTTTATTAACCTCCCTTCCAAATATCTTTTTTAAACTGCGAGATATAAAAAAGAGTACCTATTTCTGTTCTTTTATAGTTTTGCCAACCACAGGGCTGGAACCTGTCTACAGTTCGCCAACAACCAACATTTTTCGTTTCAGTCCTTACTGACATCGATGCAAATCGTCATTATTGTGCGTGCTTATCATTTAATGAACCTGTTGCAATCACGCCCAGCAAACCACCTGATGAAGAAGGTGAAGAGGAAGCAGTGGAGCCCTCTGGGGGTCTGGTACAGCATCATTCCATTATGTATGCACCTAAATGTCTGGTCTTAGTATCTAGGCTAGATTACTTTTCTACATTTCGGGTAATATTTCTTTCTTTTTTTAAACCTTTTTTTTTTTTTTTTTTTTTTTTGTAATTTCTTTTCCAATTTTATGCATTGTATGTACTTTTGACATTTCAGTCTAAAACTGAATTTTTATATGTGATTGAGTATTAGCTAGCACCTGTCAATGTAGCTCTAACAATTTCATGGTACCTTTTAGTTTTGAAATACACTTTTGATGCTTTCAGATATATTAAACATTTATTTATTTATTTTTAAGTGATATTGTTTTGATAGTTCCAGAGTTTGTGAAACTGATTGTTATTCTCTGCAGCTTGAATCTACTTTCATATGATATGAGAAAATAAGTCACTTCCGGGAATCTAATTGTTCTGATTCTACCAATATTGGCAGTGGCTAGCATTATATTCAATAGAGCGTCTTTTGTCATGTGCAGTATCATTGCATAATAATTTGTACACTTGTAATTTTTTGGTAAAAATATCACATGATTAAAATAATGGCTTGCTTTATTTCTCTGCGAATCTAGTAAACACATCATGCAGATGCATTAAAAATAAAATTATATTAATGTAGTCATAAGAACTTTTCATGCCAAAAAATTACAAAAGAAAAATGAAAATTATGAATTGCTTGTAGATATACGGTTACTGTTTGAAATACAGAGTTAAACAGGAGGGGGGTAGGACCTATTTCTACCTTAAATATATAGCTTTAGCCAAACTTGAACGTATATATATATATAAAAAGCTGTCATCTTTTTAAAGAATTCAGAGGTGATTCATGGGTAGCAGTATTATTGGCAGATGGTGCCAACTAATATTGAGGTAATTTTTTATGTTATACAGAGTGGGCACAGAAAAGTGACCCATGTGAGATTGATAAAAATAACTTACATAAGTTAACTAACGTCCATAGTAAGTCTTGAAAATGTTCTCCACCAACATTTTAATATTTTTGTGCATGATTTAACAAATTTAGGTATACCTGCATGAATTCACCAAGCCACTTTTCCGTGGCCCACTCTGTATTACATATTTTTATGCATAGGTAAAAAAAATAAAAAATACTTTTCATTCGTGCCTTTTAGCATATTTTATAAAGCAGTATAACTCATTTAGAAAGCGTGTATGAAATATGTATATTTTTTTACTTAATAGTGATACCAACTTGTTTTAATGTAGTGAATAGAATAGTAAGTGCTACCAAAGATATCATTAACAAATGCTGGCAAGATAAATGAGGGAAGGGTTCCTTCCCCTCCCATGAAGAGAATACTGTTTCATTTGAATTGGGGGGAAAAAAATTATATTGCATATATATTTTGTCATCTATTCTTTTTTGCCAATGAACTTTGCTTATTTTTGCATGCATATTTTGATTTTTTTTTATAAATCTTTTCTTCATTCAGATTATCTAAATGAAACAGAGATTTTTTAGCTGTGTTGTTGCTGTAACAAACACTGAACTGAATAGCTACATAATAATTGCATAGAAAAGAATTCTTTGTGTTACTTATTTACCTAGTGCAGTGCCTTAGATGTGCATAATATGAGAATTGTCTTTAATTAACACCTGCAGGTCTACCTCATCTGTGTTTCCTAAAAGGCGTAGCCCACCATGATCCTAGTTCTTAATAAAAGAATGAAGTATGATGGTAGAAATCTTGCAGTGCATGTAGACAGCTGAAACAAACACATTTTGTTTTCCAAAATAAGTATTACACCCAAACTGAGAGATTAATTCTGTGAAATTCTGCCCTTGGTAATATTTACATGCATTATTATGGTTCAAAATTACTTGAAATTTTACGCTACATTGGTGGTGCCTTTACCCTATTTGAAGATGATTTAAATAAAGTTATTTCAATAATGAATTCCATTGATCCTGCTGTTTGGTTAACTTTTGAATTTGAGACATCCAATTTTCTTCTGTTCCCCAACGTCTTGGTCACATACAGCATATCCAATTTCAGTACTTTTGCTTAATGTAAACCTTCGTCTGTTTGCCTTCCACCTCACTCCAAATCATGTCATTCAACTACACAAAATGTAGCTTCATTTTATTCCTTCATTTAATGTTTGCTTCTCCAAATTGACTTTTGATTAAAAACTAAATTACTGAAAGCAGTTGGTACTGACAGAGGCTTTTCACCTATTATTATTGACCAAATGGTTCAAAAATTCTCATCTGAACTTATCAAAAAGTTTTCTCTTGTTTTAGGAGATTATAAGAATTCTGTCTATTAAAATTGCACAAATTTTGTAGAAATTCAACTTTCGGGTCTTTTTCCAACTCCATTCTGTCTCTGCCCCCCACTTTTATCTCTCTGAGCATTATGGGCTAAGCTCTGAAATTTTTAAGTTCCTCAGAATGTTATGAATAAATGGTGCTTTCTTGATTATAATTAAAAAATGGCTTTCTAACTTTGTACTTTGATTCCTTTTCTTCCAATATATCTCCAACCTGAAATCGGGTACTATAAAAGCTGGGAGAAATTTTCATGTGTAATGAATTAAAAACTCCTCTTTCTGTATGGAATTTTCTTTCCATAATGCTGAGAGGGTTAAGGAAAGTATTTCATAGTTGTTTTCACTTTCCATCAGTAGATGGTGTTAGCTTGACTTTCATTTGTTCTTATCGCTTTATCTTATCACTCGCTTCTCTTTCGTCCCTTGCTTTTCTGCAGCTGAAGAAGGAGGTTCTATAGTTAAACCCTTTCAAAACTAGGCTTGCAAATTTATGAGTATAATGCTGATTCTTGTTGCTTCAACTCCTGCAATACTAGTTATTTGGAGTGTTAGTTTAACAAATTAACAAAATAGTTAATAAATATTATACGTTTTAATTACTTTTATTCTATATTGATTACGAATTAAAAGAAATACTGTTTCTAGGTAAAAAAATAAGTTGCACTAAATTTTATAATTGTTACTATGATTAGTATTATAACTTTTTAGCTCTGAATGAAATGTATTCTCTTAGCTAATGCAGGTGTTTAAGTGTTTTCTATGAAATGATTTTTTTAAATGCATTTTTTAACATTTTTTGTTATTTTTTTTAAATCAATGTGAATAAAATATGCTGTAATTAAGAAAAATATCTTGCATCATTGGGATAACATGTATGAAAAAGTTGCAGGCTTAAAATAATCATTGTTGCTTATTATCAGCTTCTTTTCGTTATGTGTAATTGATAATTTACATTTCAGAATTGTCTAGGGATCATTTATACTGTGTACATAGATAATATTGCTGTACAGATGGAAACACTAATTGGGAACATTTTAGGCTGTGTCCAAGTGCCCCCACCTGGTTAGTTTATATCTTTTAATCCTTAATAGATCTATGATTTTATGCCTTTGAACATTACATGTTTTCATGTATAAATGTATTTTTTTAGCACCAGAAGTGCTAGCTTAAAATCATAGTTTTCTGTCTGTATCATTTTTCAAATGCAGCCACCCAATGGTATCGACCTTCATTTTTTTAAAGAAATAAAATTGCCAATATAAAAACAATATATTGCGACACAAATGAAAGGATGTGGCCTATTTTTTAAGCCTTTGAGTAGCACAACTTCTTGGATATACTAATAAAGAACTTTTAACAACATTTCTTATCTAAATTTGTGTAATTCATTATTTTAATTTAAATTTTCATAAGCTTTCATTCATTTAGATAACATTTAGATCATTAAAGTAAACAAGAAAACACAATACAAATATAGTATTGATTACAATACAAACATGGTCATGATTGCATAAATGTGGCCATGGCACTCAGGGGGTTAAAGAAATAAAATAACGAATATATATTAAAAAAAATATAGCAACATAAATAAAAGGATGTTACCACCAAATGATATCACTATATATTTGTAAATATTAAAAAAGTATGGCAATATTTAACAATTACTAATTCTAAAGATATTCGATATAAAATATTTTTAACTTCCACATGCCAGTATGTTGCTTTTTCGTGAAATGAAAGCTATTTAATTTTTTGTTTAAATTTAATCTGCCTGTTACTGATTAATAAAGTAAAGGATTTAAAAGCAATGAATACAGTTCTTTATCTCTTATATAACTTACCAGCTAGACTCGTGAAATGACACTATCTGAATTTATTAAAAGCATTGTATATTGTTTCTTTTTTATAGTAATTATTTTAGACAGTTGGCAACAACATGTGAAATGGACAGTAAAAGTGAGGTTTGCAAATAATAGCTCTTCTGACCTACCCCAAAAAACCTGGTAACATATGGCACTGTATTAGGAATTCTAAATATACGCTCATTTAAAAATTTTGTGATTTTGTTGATGAATTTTTTGTGGGGTAAGTGCGAAAAAAGGGATGCTTAATAACAAAGTCAAAACGACAAAATAGTTGTTGTGTCAGCAGAAGCGAATCCAAGGGTTGGTAGATAAACTGCAAGCTCAATGAGTAATAAAAACCTTACCTTCTGGTGTAATATTAAAATCTGAATTCTTTCAGAATTTCTTTTTCTTTTTTTAAAATTTTGTTGGTCATGTAAGGTACTAAATAAATTACGTGTGGAAACTACCAAAACTTATTTGAGAAAAGTAAAGCATATGAATAAAGTATGTATAAAGTGTAAAGAATGGAAATGAAATATGTGTCATAGTACAAAATCTCTGTGTAGGGAAAAATAAACATTGTTTAAATGTAAAATTTAAATTATAATTTTAAATTATCATTTTTTAAATTAAAATTTATAAAAAATTTAAAATTTCTTCATAGCAAACTCCAGGCCCATGTTAGCATGTTAAGGTTGTGGGCTGGGATTTATTTTATAAAAAAAAGTATTAAGTATATGAAATTAAAAGGAATTAAATTAAGAAAAGGAGCAAGTTCTTCTCAACAGTGAAATTATTTAGAGAAAGGAAAGGGTAAATAAAGTTTATTTAATAGAGCACACACTCCAAGCCCAATACTTAAGACATACTGTTAGGTTAAAAAAAAAAAAAAAAATGAAGACATTGCATACAGACTGTACATCACTCAGACTATTTAATTCTATAAATATTTTGATTAATTGGTATTAAGTTATCAAAAAATACATGTATGGAATTCTAAGTAGCTTTCAAAACTGGTAAAAGGTTGTTGTTATGATAACCAAAATTATACTGCCACTTACTGTCAAGATATTGCCTGCCCAAGAAATTCAAATAAATAAAAATTAAATTCCAGTATAAAAATGAGTACATGCATATTATCCTGTCAGCCATGCAAAGCTTATCGTTTTTGCACACTTCTGAGCCGTACCTCTATCTGCAGCTTTTACAATAAAATATTTATCAGTCTCTGCACATTCCAGCAAATAAAAGAGAAAAAAAAAAAAAAAAAAAGAGACATTTTAGAATAGTGGGCCGTTGTAATATTGCAAAATATATAACTATAATATAATAAAAAAATATAAAGAATAAAATTCTCAAAGGCTATGCTTGAGGCATCATTCAACTAAAAATTCAGCTAGGTTAATTAAATTATGCACAGAGGTCATTAAAACTTATGTAAAAAAAATCAATAAAATGTGGCAGAAGTGTTACAGTATGTACTAGAAATGTATGTCTAAAGGGAGAACTGTGCACGAAAAATTCATTAGCAAGAAGTGCGAATATAAGACAGTAATATATACACTGCGAAATATATTAGTGTTGTATGCTGTGAAAGTTAATTGTTTAAATAAAATTAGAATAACAGGCTAATAAAGAAAAGATATCATCAATAGTGAAATTAACGTTTTCAAACACAAAGATTAAATAAGCAGCATTTCAACCAAGCAGACATATTAAACCAAAATTTTCTAAGAGATGCCATTAGCTTGGAAACAGTTTTAAGATTAAGACACAATAACACGCCAAACAAATACTAATTCAGAAGTCGAACAACAAATAAAATTTGAAAATATAACGCTAATTTTTGTTGTTTGACTTCTGAATTAGTTTAAGATATTAGTGATGAAAACATAAGAGTGTGAAAATCTTTTACTGTACTTTGTATAAATAATATTTTATTTCTAATTATTTTAAATCACTGTAAGAAATAAATTTATCTTGAATAACTGTGTATTTCCTTTCTCATATTACGTGCATTCGTGAAACAAATAATCTTTTACCACACAGCAAACCTAAAGCCACGTTATGATGATATTTGAAATAATCAAACCATTTTTTACAGCAAATGCGCTTACACCAAATTCCCCTTTTCCTCCTCCCTGCGTAATTAAATACGATGCATGCTTTTTCAAAGTAAATTTCAAAAAGCTTTTCTTTATTTTGTGTTTATGTAGTAGTCAGTTGTTTATTCCTTTGCAATGCTAGATTGCATTCAGGCATTTAATTAATTTTTTTAACTCTACTTTTTCTGATAAAGAGTAAAGCGTATATGGTACTATTTTCACAAAACTGGAAACAAACAAAATCATATTACTAGTTCCTCTGAAGGAGAAAATTTATTCCCTTAACCCTCTGACTGCTCAATTTGTGGACCGAAATCGCTTAAAAAAAATAATTTATTTCCTAAACCGTATTGATTAATTGATTATATTATCTCCTAAGTTTAATTAAAGTAGAATTATTTTAAAAGTGTGCATCCATACTGGTAAGTTATATTTTGAAAGATGTTTTGAAGTAATTTGAAAGCAAAATGTTAATAATGTTTTAACGGGGACTGGAGTTAAATCATCACGAAGAATAATATTACAACTGTAAAAGTAAAAATTAAAACATGTAATTATTGTCATTGATCGGAAATTAGTTGACTTTTCAAGGGGAACAAACCAACTCCCGTTCAATGATCAATAATTGATAGAAATACGTAAATATGAAAGTGTTTCGTCTTTACTCGAGTTATAAATTAAAGCCAAACCGGCAAGTTGTTACTCAAAAAACTGATTCTCATGAAGCATTTTAGTCAATTCAATTTGGAGTAAAAATCAATTACTGTAGAGAAATCTTGTAAAACTCGAGTAATCGTCCCCGACACTATCATCTTTAGTATTTGAGTACTATATTATTTGTAGAAATTAAACATTGGAAATTGTCATTATGAAATCGAATCAAAGTAAGTTGAAATAAACATAGAAGATTTATAAAAAAGATAAATAATGCAAACTTTACAAAAAACAAATCAAAGAGAACATAAAAATAATATAAAAATAATATAAAATAAAATAGAAAATAATATAAATAAGATCAGTGAATGTACATGAAGATATAAAGGCCAGAAAGGTATTAAGTAACTTACATTCTTTCTAGTGGGGGAGTTGGCAGTGTGTTCTCTTCGTGTCTGACTCAGAAGTGTAGGGTGTCCGAAAATTCTTAGCGGCAGTAGGGGCTTTGAATTATATCAGTCGGCAAGACTTGGGTGAAAAAAAAAATGTGCCAGAAAAACCAATTTCAGATGTTATTTTAAAATTTAGTCGAATTAGAAAACAAAAAGAAAATTACCGAAAAAAAAAATACCTAAGAAATGCAGTTTAGTATCATAGAGTTCAAAACAGGGTTCAAGGCAAAGTTCAACTTCACAATCTTTGTACCAGATTCAATAAATCTAATTAATAATTTAATTAAATAATCAAGATAATTGCTGAACGTTTTCTAGCAGCCATTTCTGTAAGAAAAAAGCAGCAAAAAGTGAAGTTTGAGTTGTAATACCACGTGCCTTCAAATGCCGCAATTTAGTGGACAACTAACGATGTCTGTTGGCGAAAACATAAACTAAACGTCTAATACGTTATATAATTTATTTTAATAGTTAAACAGGTGGAAAACGGCATGCACTCCTCAATAAAGGAAGAAAACATATGCCCGTGGGATGAGCAGATTTTACGACATTTGAGTTGTCCGTGGAAATCGTGGGATGAGCAGCCAGAGGGTTAAAGCATCAGCTGCCTTCTATGACAGACTGGAAATCTTCTTGCCAACTTTTGAGTGAAAGCTAGTTTATTGCTATATTTCTGAAGTTCTTGAAAAACAGGAAAAAGATAATTTTATATGATGAGAGATGGATTTTGTTGATTTAAGCAGGTATCCATTACGTGGTGTCAGATTTGTGAGTTTTTTCTTCATAGCGCAATACACAAAATCAAACAATATCTTAAGAAAATCTGAGTTACCTGTAAATTCTTAAAATTAAAAAACTGGGGTTCCTGTGTATTTGCTTGAAATAAAGTATAAAATAATTGTTCCTATAAATTTTGGTTATTTTTTTATTGCATTTTTCTGAATTTTGAGAATTACTATAATTTTGTCCTCATCCTCAATATTTGCAATCATATCATAAATGGTAAAGAATTAGTCCTGTTAAAATTGATAGTTTTTTAATGAACAGCAGGTTTTTTAAATATGCAAAAATCACTCGTATGTATGCATGTTTGAAGAAAGTGTGAGTAAATATTGTATGTAATTTTGTATGATATCTCATCTTGGTATATTAACTAATAATGATTAAATATTTAAAATGTTTCATAATTTAAAATAATGATATAAATGTTTGAGAGCTAGCTATCTGACGATATTTCAGGTGGACCACAAGTAAGATTTTCTATTGGTGCTGGTGATAGACAAGCTCTTCAACCCCCGTTAAGTTCAACTCTTCTTGTTACTGGTACTACAGTATTTCAGTTGTTTGAAGAGCTTGGTATGACCTTTTTCTATTCATTTATTTTATTATAAAAATCACTTTTGATCAATCAAGTAATTAATGAGAAAATGGACTATGTATTTTAATGCAAATTACAGTAAATAAGGTCTCTGGAAATCCCTTTGACTGTTTCTTACTACATTACCAGTATTCAAATTATTAAGATCAAAATTATGTTGTGTTGAAAAATATATATATCAGCACAACAATGAAAGTAAGAACTCTTGTGATTATTATACCTAATGCCATCGTTTTGATTTTAGTATATTTATTCTGAAAATCAGTTTCTTCCAAATATCTTAGATGATAGATTTCTGACAGCCTAAAGGTTATCAAACTGAATTACAAATCTTATTTTATTAAAGTATCTGATTTCATTATCATTTATTTAATGCTAATTATTTATAACATTGGATTTCATTTCATTTTTAAAAGAAATTTTGTTGTTTTTCATTTCTGGTATAATTTATAGATTAAGTAAAATATAAAAAATCATGTAATCAGTAAAAGTATCATGTAATTTATGAAATTAAGTTGTAATACAATTGAATCCATTATAGACTATAGGCTAAGTAAAATATAAAAAGTCAGTAAGATATAGCGTAATTTATGAAATTAAGTTGTAATACAATTGAACCTGCTATAGTGAATCTTTTGGCATGTTCGATTTTTCTCTACAATTATGTTACTGAATACTGCTATAGCAAACCTTCAGACATATGAAAATAGGATGTAGTGAACTGTATGGATATCTTCAATTGAATTTTTTCTTTTTTTGCATTTTTCATATTTTTTCTAGAATTCCTGTGAGTTTTAACAAAAATTTATTACCCTTAAAATCAGCCATGTTTAAGATGTTAGGATCCACATTCCATCCATTTAAAAGAAAATACCTTTACATTACTTTTCTTTTAACTTACATTTACTTCTCTTACATTTAACTCTCATTTACCTCTGTTTCTAAATAAGGACTATACAAGACAGGTGTGATATCGAATTTTCGGAAAATAAAGGTAAATAAGCATATCATAAGGAACCATGTTGGTGTACATGACCATTGAAACAAGTAGTGCATGAGTTCTCTGATTCCAACTTTTGCTATTCAGGGAAAAAGGAAGTAGTGCATCTTAAGAGTTGATTCATCTTTTAGGAAATGAAATTTTGATACGTATTAGTTTCTTTTGTTTTAAAATGAATGCTTTTCAGGTTGTAGCCTCCAAATGGAGGTTTTGCATTTCTTAGGTCTTTTGCAAGATATAGGGTAGTTTTTATGAACGTTATTCAATATTTGCTTTGCAGCCATACTTATCTTGGAGGAAATGATTGTTTACTGCTTGCACAGTGCATAGGATGTGTAAGTTTCAAAATTATCTACCTTTTTCATCTTTTCCAAAGGAGCTAAAATCTTAACGACTTTTTTTTTTTTTTAAATCAAACTCTGCGCTCTGTTTCTGTGTTAAAAATTCAGTCCACATGGTAGGCTGCAAACATAAAGCGTACTGCATTAAGGGCAAAATGAATGTTATTAAAAAAGTACAAAATGGGTGCAGCCAAATTAACATCTGCCACTATCCAAATTTTCATTTGGTATGATAGGAAAAAAATTGTCACTTGATAATTTCTGCTTGGAAAACCTACTTGATATAAACTTTCTGCCTGATAGTTTTTGCTTTGAGTGCAAGGAAAAAATGAGAAAAATTGAGCTTAAAGATTTTGAAAAATTATTGCTTTTAAGGGTTCACCATTCAGAGAAGGTGTAATCTGATGGTATGTGAAAACTGCTTCAAACATGGCCGCAGAATGTACCAGACACTTTGGAAAGACTGTCTTTTTGTGCTCAAATGGCTGTTTAGACTGGTTTAAGAAGCAGAACAACTTTTCAGGAAAAACTGTTGGAGAATTGGTAGTGTTTGAAAATTAGATATTAAAAAATTGTTTTGGATCATATCTCTCTCCATTGCCAAGAAAATGACATTTTCAGCTGCAGTGGAACTAGGTGGTTTTGTAGTATGATGTCGCATCAAACATTAAAATTTTAAAACCATAGATGCCTGGTGAAAAATTGCTAAAAGCTCTTGTGTAATCTAATATAAATTGTACTAAATGCCATAGGCTTTTGATAATTGGAAAATTTTAAAAGTCAAGATACTTAAAAAATGTGAACACTCTTCCTGTGTCTTATAAAATTTATTGTAAGACATGCACAACATCAAAACCATTTGAAGAAAAGTTTCAAAAATAGGATGAAAATATTTTGGCCCCAAAACAAAAGATTCTACTCTTAATAGCAACTGTAGTGCACATACGAAGTCAGAATGGATTGTTTTCTTATGCTTCCAAATGGGGAATAAGTGCTGTAATTTATTCTGTAAAATGATTAACATATAATAAAACTGGGAAAAAATGAATAACATATTTAATAATTGCAGATGATAATTAAATTTTTATTTGATTTTTAAAATTATATTTATTATGTATTTCTTTTGGTAACTATGGCAATATTAATAATTTTTTGGGGGGATATTCATCATTTAGTTTTTACAGTTTTGTGAAATAATCCATTTTACTTTTTTAATCAAATATAGCAAACCAAACTTCCGATCACTTAAAGCTCATTGTAGCAGAGTTGAATTATATTTTATTTGTGCAGCTATTAATTCATTTCAGATTGCCCATTCATAATTTCAACTTATGAAATGTATGTTTTGTAATACAAAATAAAGTGAACTTCTATGTTCAGGTATGCAACATGATTAATTGATTTTTTTTAATCATGAATAAAAATTAACCTGTAGTTGTTGATAATGCTTTGATATGGTATCTAAACAAGGGAAGGTAATTTCTACTATGAAAACTGGCAGCAGATTAATTTATAATTTGTAGATTTTAAAGTGATTGGACAAGGTACATAAATTTTGCTACATTTTTTAATTTGTGTATTTTCAGGTATACACAATGTAGTGACTCTTTTCTGTGCAGCCATGACAGAACATAAAATACTTTTTCATTCCAGTAGCTACTCTCGCCTTACAGATGCTTGTCATGCAGTCACTGCCTTGATGTATCCTTTTAAATATAGGTAAGATATCTTTTCCGATATGTACAGTTTACTTTTATGTCAAAGTGAGGGATGAGGGTTGTCTAAGCTGATAAAAGTCATTTGCCTTTGATTTGAATATTAATAGCTTTCAAAAATTCAACTATAAATTCTTTTCTGACTAGGAAAATTGCAAGTAAGATTTTCGTGATGTTGACTTTAAAGAACATTCGAAAATTCTGAACTCGCCAGTGAGTAATTTTTTTCCAAGCTAACATGCAAAAGCCATCAGACATTTTAAAATAGTGGTAAACTACGAATTATATAGGAGAGAGAAATCAATCAATAAAATTAGTAAAGCAAGAAACATAGTAAGAAAAGGCTTACCTTTTTCTGGAAATTTTTTTTTTGTTTTTGTTTTTTTGTTGTTGTTTTACCTTATGTACATAGTTATGTACAGTTTTCTCTTAGAATGTACAGTCTTATGTACAGTTTTCTCTTAGAATTGGACAGAGCATTGCACAAATTTAACATTGTGCACAGGTTAAGACAGGCATGCTGTGTGTTGGAAAAACTAAGATTACTTACTTTTGATAAAACTGCCTGTACCAAGTTATGTTATGTGCAAGAAAATACTCTTCATAAGAGTAATAGAGCATAAACTTATTTACAAAAATGCAAGTTTCTTATGAGTTGCAGTTTCACATACATCTATTGTATGAGAAATGAACAAAACATGTTGTTAGCAATCAGCTGCAGTTAAGTAATAACATCAAAACACGTGTTTCATCAATGGCCAGTATTCTTCCACTTTAAGTAAACTTAATTCAGAGAAGTTTACATAAGTTTTAACTTTAAGTTAACATTAAAGTCTCTGTTATCTGGGGGGGGGATATATTAAAACTTCTAGTATGAATTATACACTATTAAAATTACATTACTGCAATTCTTTATGAATAATATTATAAGTTCATTCTCTTAGGAGTTTTAATCTCACAGCTACATGCAAATTATTTTGGTAAAATCTCACAAAGTTCTTTTACCTTTTCTGCTGTCATCGCTTTTAGACTAAGTCTTCTGTTACTTCAGTAGCATCTTAATATCCCACAATTTTCAATGGATGGATTCAAAGATGAGCTGTATCTTTTTTGCATTTGGCCAGTGTAAATGTTTTTTATTATTACTTCCAATTAATATGATGTCATAGACATTTATCTTCTTCGACAATCATTTATTCACCTCCATCTTCAGTTGTCCGAAGTTTTCACTGCGGAATCTTTGCTGTAACTCTTTTCTCAATCTTAGTCTGTACTTTGAACCATTTATTGAAATCTTGAGCTTCTATCAATACTAGATCAGGTATTCCTACTTCTTCAACATCATTCAGGGACATATTAGTAATCAAGGGGAACTGGATTACTTGGACCTTCAGAAATTTAAGAGTTGAAGCTTTGATGATTTCTTCACAGTCACAAAGAATTGTTTGTAGTTCTTTGAAATCCTGCAATGCTTTCCCAAGAACTTTTCTTAGCAGATGTTTAAGAACATGTGTCATTCTCTTCCACCCCACTATGGTGCAGAAGGAGGAATGAACTTCTAGCAGATCTTCTTTGCAGAACATTTAACTTCAATTTCCTTCCAGTTAATGTTGTTTAAAGCACTAGCTGCTCCTACAAAAGTATTTCCATTGTCACTATAAATTATAGATGGTCGTTTTCTATGCCTAGCAAAATCTTTGGAACCCTTGAAGAAAATGAACAGTTGACAGAGAGGAAATCAGCTCGAGACCTACTGCTAGCTATACTCCACATGTAAACAGACATATCCATGCTGGTCACGTTTCCTTGGCCTTTGATGTGCAAAGAACCAGTGAAATGTACACCTGTAGCTTCAAAAGTTTCTCTCTGCACACATTATCTTCAGGCAAGGCACTTGGTAAAGTCTCATATTTTTTACTTAGAACCATTTAAAAACTGTAAACATTGATTAAAAACAGTTCGTATGCTATGATAATCACCTAAAGTCCAATAATGCTCTTTAAGAATTGTTCTCATTAACTGAGTAGCAAAGCTAGATGATTTTAAATATGTAACAAAAATCAACCTGAAAACAACAGATGCTGCTGGATGGCAGAAATCCTTCATGTCTTTTCAATAAGAAATCTTTGTTCTTAATTGTAAATCACCATCTTCTTCAACATAGAGGTGTAAAGTCGATAATCTAAAATTCTCAAAAACCATAGAACATTTCCCTTTGAATTACTTGCTTCAACTGTTATACATTGATCTTTTGGAATTAGACTGTTTTTCTTCAATCATAAAATTCCATCCAACTTATGGTGAATATTCTTAAGAAATGCTCATAATAGCAGTTCACATTTTGCAGTTAAATACTCTTTAATGAAGGCTTAATGCATTTTTGCTTCTCCACTGAGATTTCTTGTTCATTCATTCAACTATTGGATTTCATACATTTAGCCACTGCAAACCCTCCTATATCGGGATTTTGGAATTGTTTTGCTTCACATCCCCAAGAAGGTAGATTAGCAGCATTCTGAGCACCTGGTATATGTTTCCATAGGTCTGAGGAAATCGGTTGTCTTAATTTTCTTACTTTGTTATTGAGAAAAACTGACCAGTGGTCATTATGTCAGATCCAAGTAAGAACCATGATTGAGTCTGTCTAAAAGTAAGGTTCTGTATCTTTCAGTTTAAGAGCTTTCATCACTAACTTGTGCAACCTAGCTCCAGTCTTAGTATGGTAATCATCTTCACAGGAGTAATTCTTCATTGGGTTTGTAGTAATTGTGCTGATATCCCATGCTTTGATTCACATCTCGTAAATACTGCGGCAGCATACTCTATTTGACTGGCGTCACAGAAAGTATGTAGACTCAATTTCACTTTTCTATCACCACCAAACCGTGTGGATTCTTTTATATTGTTTAAATACAGTATGTATTTCATCCAATTCAAAAATTCTTTCTTTACATCATTATTCACATCAGCAATTCATATTTCCATTGTTTTCTAGGTAGACTGCAATAAGAGTTTAGCACATAATGTTACAGAACGTACAAACCCTACAGGATTGAAAACTTGATTAAGAACCAAGAGGATTTTTCTCTTAGTTACAATTTCATCTTTAAATTCCGAGCACCCTTAGAATATCTGCTTTTCTATCTAATAATAGTCTTAAAACATTTAACTTGGTTTCAAGTACAAGTTTTTAAACAACTGTGTGTCCCAGTCTCTCAAATTAAATTGTGCTTTTTGTATAAATTCGGTTGCTTCTGTTATAAAACCTTCAAGTTCTGGTTTGTTTTCTACACTGGTAATACAGTTACCAACATAAAAACTAGATTTCAGTCTTCCATCTTGTTCAATAAGCATAAGTCCCTTTGTTAAATGATGATTAGTAACTGCTCCAAGTATGATGATTAATAACTCCTGCATGTAATGTCAAAGACTACGTGATTATGATGTAAAATTTGAAAATTTCCTTCTGTGTGAAGCCACAAAAAGTGGAGGTAATATGTTTCTCCTTCATTTACACTAATCTGAAAAAATGCTTTTATGTCTGATGTGACACTTATCAAAATCTCATTAGTATAGAGGGTGTGTATTCTATTAGGTTTTTTTCAGTTTCCAGGTAATCAGTCATTTAGCGAAGGGCTTTTAGGAACCTTTGCTAATGCATCGAAAACTCATCTGATTTTAGTTGTACTATATTTCTTCAAAACATGATAATGTGCAAGATAATAGATAAAGAACATTTGGCTTCTGGAAATATTTTTTTCTTCTTTCAACCATTCTTTGAATACATGTTGATATTCTGATAGATAACTGTCTTTTCCAGCTTTCAATATGTGGAATCCAATCTTTTCAAAGCCAGCTAATAATTTTCAGGTAAAAGATGGTGAACTTCTTTCCAGGGCATATGAACTACTTCGCATTTTACAGATAAGCTTGTTTAATCTCATCTTTATGTTTCTTTTCTATAGGATCTTTAATGCCTATAATTTCTAAATCCCATTAATTGGAAATGCTCATATAGGTTGCGAGTAGTGAAGTTACAATCCTATTTACATTTCTCCTATTCTGACTTCCAGGAACTTTTCCCATTAATTTCCAGCATAATTTAGTTTTCATGGCAACTAAACCTCCTTTACATTCTTTTTTTTTTTTTTCATCTCTAAAAAGAGTTTTCCTGTGACATCTGATCCAATTAATATTTCAATAGAATTTGGGTTCTTTTATGTGTCACTCATTAATAATATTTGAAGTTTCAAGTTCTCGAAATTTCTTTATCTATTACTTCAATATTGCAAAAATACTTACAATCAAGACTACCTAAATAAATCCTATAAAATTTATTTTCTAGTTTGTTAGTTACTGTCTCTCCAAACAGAGAATGTTTTACAATTTCTTCTTATTGGCTCGTAATCCACATTTAAAGAAGAAGCCTTTAAAATATTTGACTTATGTGATCCCATATCAACTAATGCATTTACCTGTCAAATTCACAACGGATGTCTGAAGAAAAACTTCAAGATTAGGAAATGAACTTGAATATAATATATCATTACACTGTATATTCTCCTTTCCTGATGTAATCTATATCTACCTATCTACATCATTGTGTATGATTGTTCCAGATACATTACTGAAAAATGTGTCTTTGAACATGACATACATTTCACTGAAACCTTACAATTCTTCGCATTATGTCCTTATTTCAGACTACAAAAACAACATCTTTTATCAAGTAGATTTTTTTTTGTTAATGACATTTTTTAGCTTTAAAATATTCATAACTGCTATGTTTACCTACACGAAATAGACATCATTACTTAAATTATTTTCTTTAGTGATAAAAAAAACTGTAGCACTAATAATTCCTTTATTTAATTTCGAATTTACTCTTTTATTAAAATTACACGATGAGCATGGCTTGTTTCTGTTAAATTGGCAGTTTAAAGAAGGTCCTTTGTCTCAGCCAGTCCGGCTTTCATTTCAGCCTTCATCTCTTCATATCTGGTTTTTATCTTGGCTAAGAAATCCATTAAAGTCTTCGTTTCCTCCGTCATAGCTTTCCTCAGCAGGCGGGTCACTGGCATTCACTCTGGTTCTCGAGAGAGAGCGTGGGTTCTGTCAACTCGATTGACTCCGCACGGATTATCTAACTCGAGACTAACTATTTCCCACTCGACTATGCACACTCACGCTGACTGCGGACCAGCAGGGTTTGTATAGCTTTTGGCTTGTGTTCGAGAACATTCTGGGCTAAAGCGATAAGAACTCATTCCAGAAGGTTCTCCATTCATCCATGGTATATCGCTAATTTTGTCGCCAAATGCATAATTTCTTGCTAAATGCGGCAACCCTACTTTCACTAGCCATTTTATGGCAACTCTAAACCTGCTTTGTGGAGAAGCTATCTCACCATTCCTGTACATTTCGTAACACTGCCTCCTTCCAAGGACTGCATGTCCAGGGCAGTACAGCCCTTGGTCAGAAGCCAAATTCGATGCAATCAAATCGCTTTAAAACATACTGATAACATAAGTAAAGAAACAAATATTTACACTATGTACAAGTTACTTACACAAATTAAACACATCACAATTTTAAATTATATAAATTAAAGTTATGAATGAATTTCAGTCTCACTCTCTTCATTAAGTTATACCTGGGTCAAATACTTTTTCACTGCAGTTCTCAGATATATTTATGTTTTGCATATCACAGTCTGAGGATTCGGTCCTTTCAGACTTTTCATCCACAGGAAGATCTGAAACAGTTTGTTCATCACTCTATAGTTCATTCATGCCATGCATACAGTTCACCTCTGTATTTTTAGCAATTGATACATGCTTATTTTCCTCCTTTTCCTGGGAACCAATTCCAATGTTTGCACCAGGGTCGCGAGTAGAATCGAATCCTTTACAAGCAGAAGTAGCCGGGTTTAGAATCAAGTCCTTGTCTGTAAAACCTGCGCTATGAGGCCACATGTAATTTGTGAAGTGGGCGAATTTTCTTGCAATACTGGAGCACTCTGCGTACGTTGTACATCAGCTTCTCCCATATTTGCATCACATGCACTTTGAGATGGTTCAATACCTGCTAACTGTGACTTCGTAACTTCACTATCAGTTTCTTTGAACTTAGCAGTTGCATTTTCACTTTCTTCCACTTCAGGCACTTGAGAATCAATAACTTTATTTACATGAATTAATTCTTCAGCTCTTTCAGAAACTTTACAAGCCACTTCGTTTATTTCTTTATCTTTACAAACAGTATTATCACTGTCTTCCAGTTCAACTTCAGACACCTGAGGATGAGAAGCATCTTCCCCGTCTTTTTCTTCATCTTTTAGTTCTGTTTCTTTAATCTCGTTAGACAGTTCATCCTTCATTTCTTGTTCTTTCTCATAAACTTCATCAGCTGCTTCACTGCTTTCTCCATCCCTCGAGTCTTTAGATGCCACTTCTGTCATTTCCACAGCTTCTTTTATGGCTCCAGTTTCTTCTGTAAGCTCCACTTTCATCTGTAAGAGTTGCCTTCGCAACTTTTCTTGGCTGATATTTTTTCTTCTCATCCGGCTTTCTTCACTTCCAGTCCGTCTTCCATCTCTTACAGTACGGCTTTGATCTCAGCTCTCATCTCCTCATATCCAGCTTTTATCTCGGCTAAGAAGTCCATCAAAGTCTTCGTTCCATGGCTTTCCTCTGCAGGCGGGTTACTGGCATTCACTCGCAAATCCCACTTCTGACACCAGTTGTTAGTTTTTTTTTTTTTTTTTTTTTTGGTGACATCAGTTGTTACTTTTTTTTTTTGGACACCAGTTACAGTATTTTCTTCCTTAACATTCGTACGGGGTTCGTGAGGATTTGGAATGAGTAACGACGACACTTGATGAAATATCGAATCACACTTTATTTAGCCAATCTTAAGAACAACTCCAAAGTCACGTTTTACAGTCGTTGAAGATCTACTATACACTCGCTGGAACAATCAGCGACACAGCCTTCAGATTGTCAGGCTATAATGGTGAACACAGTTTCACTGCAAAGCACCAGTGTACAGCTCCCGACTCTGCTTGGTCGTTCTCGGAACTCCACATACTCTGGAGACTCTCCATGCTTGCTTTGCGGGGAACGCTATCTCGCCGCACCTGTACATTTCGTAACAGTATTATATGTTTCGGTTGCTACAACTAGGTAAAATATTTTTTTTATTGCTAATGTGTGAACTTTTGTTTTGACAACATTTTACTGTTAAAATATTTTAAAATCATTCAATCATTTTGCTAATTTGTTTTTAAATATTTTTATTCTAATTGAAGTATTGAAAATTTACTAAGGAAAAGGCTACCTGTATAATGTTTAAATTTCTCAAGTTGCAGTACGTTGATTATCTAGAAATAAATTTTTATGTTGTTTGTAAAAGAAACTTTTATTTATTTAAAATAAAATAGAATTTTACATTTGTCATTTGTTTACCTTGGGCAAAGAATATTCTGCCTTTAAATATATATATTTCTCAAGTTGTAACGTAAGTTCAACAATAAATTTTTGTTGTTTGTAAAAGAAACTTTTATTTATTTAAAATAAAATAGCATTTTACCTTGGGCAAAGAATATTCTGGCTTTATATATATATATATAAATGTTAAAAGAAAATTCCTAGTTTGTACACTAAAAAGTTGCTTAGATACTGTGGTTCCGTGAAAATATTAACATAAGTAAAATAAGGTGCAATGAAATGTATTACAAAGATAAAATAAACAATACAAAGACTTGAATATTTACAAATAAATTCAATACTAATTGTAAGCAATATGCTAATCAAGGTAATGTTTCATAGGGAAGATTTTTAGTTGAACTTTTAATTTTAGCTTGAACTGAGTATTTATGGTTGATTATTTTCTTTTGTTAGTCATGTATATATACCTCTGTTACCGTCAGCTTTAATAGAAGTGTTGAGTACCCCAACTCCTTTCATAATGGGTGTTCATTCTTCTTTGAAAGGTGAAGTTTTAGATTTGGTAAGTATTGTATTTTATCCTTTCACAAAGTGTAGGAAGGAATAATTTGAAAATAAATGCTATGCATATTTCTGTACTATTAAATAATGAAGAATCTGTTTGTATATTCCTCACATTGTGGAAAATGGCAGTGCCTAAAGCCACCAAATTTTGACATTTATTCCTTCATATGAATATGTGCAGTTCAAAACCTGAATTTGAATTTTTTTTAAAATTATTACATATTTTATCTGAATTGAATAAATATTTAATTAACAAACTGAGTGATTTAAAACTGGCAATGGTAACACTGTTTGAAATAAAACATTATTATCTCTGTGCCAGAGTGTTAGCATTCAGCAAAATGAAAGATGCCGTTCAAGTCTAATCAACAAGCTCAATTATTTAAAGCGTTATGTTACCTAAAATAAAATATGTCTATCTGCCACGCACCAGTGTGTTGCCATTCAGTAAAGCATACAATATTTATTCTCTCTGTTATTACCAAACCAAGTGATTTAAAAACAATAAATGCAGGTCCCAGGAATAATTTTCTGCTTTTTTGTCTGATTGATTTAAATAAAAATGAATTTAAACCAGGACATGCCTATGTAAAAAAAAAAAAAAAAATAAATATTTTAAATGAAATTGCGCTAAGTGGATTCATTAAAAGCATTATATATTTTTTCTGTTTTATGATAACTATTTTAGGGGGCTGACAGCATAGTGGCTAGTTGTGTTAAAAAAATTGATTAATTTATCATGTTTAAATTTATAGTTGAGAAAGTTGTTCTGAAATGAAGAGTTTTCATTCGTACTCATCCATGTGTAGGTTGAGTGGAAATCTCATTATTTGAAAAATAAATATTATAAATTTTTGACAAAGCTATTTTATTCACAGTGTTTTTAAATTTTAAATAGTGTTTTGCATGTGTTCGTTTTTGGGAGTCTGGTTTTATCTGTGCTAATATGTCATCTAGAAATGTGGAGTGAAGCGTTAGAGCAGTAACTTATAATTTATCCAGTTTTATCACACCTGTAGCAAAAACCCAAACTCAGTTTGATATAGATGGGGAAATCTTTTCATTGGCTGAGTAAGCAAAACCACGATTATCAATAATTAAAAGTATAGTATATTATCATATATAGCATTTTTGTGTGCGGTACAGGTTCATTATGGATTGAATGCACAAGTTCGATGAAAAATGAACAAAATCTATTATTGTCAAACGAATAAAATGCTTAAATTTCCTCGGATATTCATGCAGTATTACAATATCTCACAGTAGTTTACTTTTAACTACTCAAACATTCAACAGAACTTAATTCAAAACAGTTAGAGAAAGGCTAATCCGATTTCACCGCGAATTCACTACACTCAACAAGAGCAGTTTTCTAAACAAACTGTTAAAACAACAACTATGAATTGAGAAGTTTTCCTCCTTTTAAGCTTTTTAATTCACGTTATAAGGTATTTCTCCCACCTTTTTAACGTGGTGTAGTGGTTCTGCACGCTGGGCTGGTATTTCAGAGGTCTGTGGTTCGATTCCCGGGGAAAGCGATTGCTCATTTTTCATCTTGCCTGCTTAAAAACTTCCTAATGTCTCCACATTGGGGCCCGAAATTATAGGGTGTTGGATAAGGATTCTCCGCACCCAGAATTTGGCGATTGGGTCCCCTAAAAACGCAAGTCGCCCTTTAAAAGGGGGAGTATATGAGGTATTTCTCCCACCTTCTTGGCGTGGCTTCATGGTGTAGTGGTTCTGCACGCTGGGCTGGTATTCTACAGGTCCGTGAATCGATTCCCAGTGAAGGCAATTACTCATTTTTCATCTTGCCTGCTTCAAAAAAATGCCTAATGTCTCTAAAATGCATGAGTAGCAATTTCTCGAAATCAAAAAGATATATTTATTTATTAAATGTTAAATGCACGTGCTTTTGTATTTTTAATTTTCCGCCTTAGCTTTCTCATAATATTCGTTATGCGCTGCACTGCACGGGAATAAAACAATTTAATTTATAATTCTATTAATATTATCTATTTAAATACCAAATCTGTAACACTATATTATGGAGCAGCCGATGTTGTAGATATGTACGAGTTTGGCATGAAAATAGTTTCCTTTTTGGCTTCAACCTTTGAATGCTTTTTTAAGGCTTCAAATCTTTGAATACTTTTCCTTAAAAAATTGCTCTAAAAATCTGTTATGTTGTTATAGAGCTATATTTATTATGCAATTTTCACTTAGAACTGTGTAAAATATGTGAAAGATGTTAAAAATACTTTTTAATATTGAAAAATATCTATCTGTTCCCTTTTTTCCGTGCCACTAAACCACTGAGAACATTTGGCTTGCTGCATATTTTGAATGCCACAGAGACACTATACCTTTACAAACATTCTTGCCTTCCCTGATATTCAAACTGAGGCCCTTTAGGTATGGTAGTCAGGGTCACTAACCACTGTCCTATCTTGTCAGTGCAGCTGCTAGTTCATCCCCTTATACAATTGAAAATTTAGGGGAAAATTATTTGGTTTATATTCATTTTTCTTAGTTATTTGCAATAACATTGTTGCAGAGCTATTCATGAATGCTGTGTAAACAGAAATTTGCATTTGGTGCTTATTTGACAACTGCTGCCCTATTAACTGAAAAGTGCCAAATTTTGATATAACAATTTTTAATATTTTTTAAAATTTTAACATAAAGTATATTTTCTGAAAGTCATGTTTTACCTAAGTAGTACTAGTGTTGAATAATTTGTGTATTAATTGTTAATTGTTGTTATTTTAAATTTGATAATTATGTTTTGTGTTCTTAATTGTATAAATACACAATTCATTTTCACAGAATGTTCATTAACCGCTTGCCTGATTATCCCGAGTTATCTAGGGTTCGTATATATTGCAATTAAATATTATCCCAAGAAAACTCGGGCGAAGCAGAATTTGTTAGTACGATTTCTTTTATCACGGTTTTACTCGGTCTGGAGGAAATGAAAGGAAATATTCAGCTTTGATTGGCAGTTTGCCAAATTTTGTTGGTTGCATGGTTCTTTTGGAGGGACTGGCCACGTGTTTCCCTATTGTATAGTATACGTTGGCTTTTGGATTAGTAATGTGTAAAGAAGGATGCATGCGTTGGGAAAAAAAAATAAAATAATGTCGATGATGCAAGATAGCGAAAGCGATGATTTTTCAGATAGTGATTATGAAGAGGTGGGGGAAAAAAATCAAATCCAATGAGACAGTGTACTCTGTGCTCCCGTGAAAGAGATTCCAGCGGTAAGCCAGAAGAAAAGAGACCAGATACAAGTGTAGAATGTCAGGTATCACTCTGTGTTGTCCCTTGTTTCAAAAACAATCATACAAAGATTAATATTTAACTATTTTCGTTTGCCCGAGATAACTCAGGATAGTAAACTAATGTTAAAAATAAATGCATTTACGCCTTCAAAAAATTAAAAATTCAACTTAAAACCTATATATTTTGATTTGTTTCATTTTGTTGTATTTAATAATAAAATAAAAAAAAATGTGATGATTTTTTGCAATTTTTTTCAAAAAATTTGTAAGGGAAGCAGTTAAAATGTGTATAACTATATGATAAGTACATTTAATACTTGTTCTACTTTTCTCAGCATATGAATGCTAACACTGTTGCTTCAGTGCTGTTTTTAATACGAGATCTAAGTCTGTATTACTAATGCTCATTATCGTAAGAATTATGGTAATGTATATTAACAATGCAATCTTAGATCAGATGTTAAATGAGTTTTTCCTATTTTCAATTATCTTTTTCATGATGATTTTTTAAAATATATATCCAGTTCCCTTATATGGTATAATGCTTTCATTCATTCATGTAATCTGATTTGGAACCACTCATAAATTCATTTGTTGATTTGCATTATATTAATAGTGCTTTTAAGAGTGAGAAAAGTATAATCTAATGATTTTAATGCAATGAATGTTAATATTTAGTGAAACATAATCTCCATTTTTAAAACAGGTTTAAAATAATAAATACAAAATCAGATATAAAGTAATTTGTCTCTCAGCATTAAGTGTGATACATTTTGGATTAACTTTACATTTTGGATTTATTTAGCCATCTGACTGCTTATCCTGTGATTTCCACTAGCAACATAATTGTATCAAAATTTATTCATCCTGCAAGTGTCCAGAGGCATGTGTTTGTTATCTCTGTTAAAAGCATATCACACTATTTCATTGTTGCACTATATCAAAAATGCATTTTTTCCAGTATTTAGATTTTAAATCATGTTTTGTTCAACAGATGGGGTTAGTTACCTACTAAATTTCATATACTTGTATAAAGTTCATAAATTCATACATAGATTTTCCAATATGGAATAAAAATTATGCAATTTTTCTGGCGATTTTATTAAAAAATTGGGCCTACCAGTAGTTAAGTAATAAAGCTGGTGAACACTGGTAGTTTGGTCAAGGGTTCAAATCCTGGTCAATGGGCTAGTTGGCATGACTATTTTTGAGGTTTTTCCCGTGTATGCAAGTCAGTTTCCATTTAAAATCTTCCACAAAAGCATCTCTTCTCTTAGGCAGATAGCCCTCCAATTCTTTGCTATAATTAAATAGACCTATTAAAAAGTTGAGCATCAGAGGGTTAAAACCTGTCAAGAATAATTGGCAGACAAGGTTTAAGAAAATATTGTTTGTTCATATTTATTTACATTTTATGTTACAATGTATATTTTTGTCATCAAAGTAATTAGAACAGTCTGTCACAGCAGTGTATTTTCCCTCAACCATTGAGTATCAACCATCTAACCCACCAATATTTTTTCACATATATAGAATTTAAATTTTTGTTAATAAATATCCTCAAATTATATCATTTGTACTTCTTTGTGTATAAATGTAGCAGTTAAAAAGAAATTTAAATTTTTGATAAATTAATAGTTTTAGGGAGATCATGCACACACAGGTCTTGAATTTTATGGATATGATTATAACCATTTAAAATTTTTTATTGGTATAGTAATAATCACTTGTATTTTTTCAATTTTAGTTAGATGTCATTGTTGTAGATCTGGATGGTGGATCACTTGTAGTTCCTGATTGTATTAGTGTTTCATGTCTCCCCGAACCATTGAATACTCAATTATATGCTCATCTGTGTGCGGTATGAGAAGTTTTTGAATTGATTCAATTCTAGGTTTTTTATTTTTGTAAATGTTTTCCTTTGGGGGCTGGTGATTACTCCAATAAGCTATCAGTTGTTTATTTAATACTTACTGTGCTTATATGCCTTTTTTTTTTTTTTTTTTTTTTTTTTTTTTTTTTGTAGTTTGGCTATTGTGATAATCTCTATTCATTGATGTGTATTTTTCATAGTTATTGTATGCCTATCTTCTTAAATGAGTAGAAACTTCTGGAAGAAATAAAAATCATTAAATATGCTAGCAATAATAATAATAATAAAAACTGTTTATTTTTCCTACAAATATTACTTATTTTTCATAAAGGGTTGACAGAATGATAAAAATAATAGATAACTGCGTAAATACTTTTATTAATGTAGCATTAGTTTACCTTGAGCAATATGAGCAGCACTAACTTTGCATGAAATAAGTGCTTGTGAATCTGCTTGTTAAGATAGAATTTTCTACATTAGTCTTATAGCATTTTTCATTTCCAAACTGTGAAGGTGGAAAGAATTGTGCTAATATCAGTCTTTTTTGTCAGTACAAATAAAGATTCATCATTAATACATTCATAGGCTGTTGACACGGTCATCATTATTTTATTTCATCATGCCTGTGTAAACTATCTTGAATTTCAATTTTTTACTGGTTTTGAATGCTAATTACCTGAAACTGTAAGCATATATCCTCAGTTTTCATCTATGTGTGTGTAGTTCGTGGTGTTGAGCAGCCCTTTCAAATGCTGTAAAACTTTACAAAATACCACAATGTTATGATTCATATTATTGTTATGCCATCCCAGTGCCTTACATTTGGAACAAATTGGTCAGAATGGTTCATTTCTGTTGGGTATGGCCATGTGTGTATTCTGTTTGTGATAAAAACAAATTTAATTACAACATGTTAGATCTAATTAAAATTTTCATTTGGTAAGGCCTCACTTCTGATCATGTTAATATCATTATTGTAATTTTTTATTTTTATTATTTATTTTGTGCTGACATCAGTAATGATGTTAGTAAATAGTATTTCATATTGCATTCTTGGAATTTGTGATGCACTTAAAAGATTGTTTTGCTTAAAATGGACAAATATACACATGGCCGTACCCAATAGAAATGAACATTCTGACCAATTTGTTCTAAATTTGCACTGAGATAACATAACAACAATATGGACCATAATATTATGATATGCTTAAAAGAGAATTTTTTGTAGTAATACAACAGAAATGGTTGAGTCAGCCATACCTGTAACTTTTGCAGCAGTAATTTCATATCGTTTGTTTGGTTTCTCTTATTTAACTTGCTTTTCAGTGTACAATTTCATATTCAGAAAGAGTACTTTTAATCCATGATAGCAAGTATTTATAATAAAGAGTTATTGCAGAGAGCTTTTGGGTGCATGCAGTGGTTTTACAGTCATTTAAACAATAATTTTTTTTTTTTTTACTGCACCAAATATTAATTATTTGCAAATTTAATATGCAGTTTGAAATCTGAACCTCTGGATCGCTGGCTAAAAAATATCTAAATAAAATAATATAAACCGCCTTTCCATTTTTTAAGTCTAGGAATGATTAATATAATACTCAAGAAGCAGGTATGGTGTAAATACAATTCTTCCCTGAGTAACTGAGATTCCTGAGTAACTTCATCTTTCAAACACCTGCCATAATCTGTTACTTTAAAATAGGAACTTCAAGGTTTTTTTCCACAGCTCGATCTGGCTCATAACTGTGAGAACAACAGCTGCAAGAAAAAAAAGATTACTCCCTTAATTCCCCTTCCACACATCTTTATTTCCCTTTAGCATGTTTTACTTCATGAAAAGCACACACATGAAGGCTGACTTGAAGAAAATAAACACTGTGTGATGATGACACGATTTACAATTGTGAATGGGGGAGGAGAGTCTGGCGGTGGCTTTGAAATACCTATTTTAAAGTCACAGGCTATAGATAGGAAGTGACACCGTTGCCAACAATAATACATTAATTGACATTGTATTGATGTTGGGCAGGGTCACACTTTCAGTCCTTGAGTGGTTGTCAGGGAGTTAGCATTTTTCTTTCTGACCTAAATAATAAATGAAGCTTAGATGTTGCCATGTCTACATGTCATCTTAACTAAATTTAAACTAAATCTGGAAATTTTCAAAATCTTGAATTGCCAAAGTACTGACAGTTCCAGATCATGAGCTTTATTGGATTCTTAAGATCACCACCTAATAATTATGTTTAAAAAAAAAAAACATAAAATGTAGTAATGGAGAGTATAATATTCAACAAAAGGAAGCAGGTGTGCTGTAAATACGATTTTTCTCCTGACTAACTGAAATTCCTGCATGTTACTTTCAGGTACGTGCTGGCTACAAAGTCACACAATGGCCAGTGACAATATTTTGATTCATATTGTGTTGATGCTGGCCAGGATCACATTTTCAGCCCTTGAGGTAGTTGGGGGGGTTAGCATTTTTTTTTTTTTTTTTTTTTCTGAACTAAACAAGTGCATCCCTAATGTTACCATGCCTATGTGTAGTAGATGATATGAAATCCGGAATTGCCAATGTTTTGATGATTCTCGATCTTAGACTTTGTGCAGTATGTGCTGTAATAGTTCTTTAAATTACTCATTTTCACTGACTGTTCAAAATAACAGTGAAATTTGTTTCCAAAGGATCTAAATAATAATTGGTAATCGTAGAACGTAGAAAAGTAATTTCAACGCTCTTGTTAGCAGTAAAAATGTTTTAGATAGGCATTTATTAAAAAAAAGGGGGGGAAGAAATGGTGTAACTGTCCTAAATAAAAGTGAAGCCACTTTTCAAATGATTTACATTTTATTTTAATAGTATTCTTATCAGTGAAAAGTAATTAAATAGTACAAAAAAGCATAATTTTTTGCATTGCTTAAAAAATTTACTATAGTGACTTTACTTTAAACAATGCATTAATTAAAAAGAATGAGTGTTGAACAGTAGAAACTATTTCTGACATGACACCACTGAAACAGTTAGTTAATTTTGTTAAAAATGGTTATTTGTTTTGATCAAGTGATATTTATAGATTAAGGTGTTTTTTTTTTTTTTTTTAATTACTGCTTTCTGATTTTTTGCACCCCTACAAAAAGTCAGCAGCAAGCTTGTTAACTTGGTGAAAGCTATGTTTAGCTGCCTTTATAGCTCATAACTAGTGTTATTTTTTAAATAATAATAAAAAGAGGCATTTAAAAAAAAAGAAAATTATTAGCAAAAATGAAAGTCTGTATGGTCAATGCTTACATTTTTTACAGCTATTCAGCAAAATGACAGCTAAATGCTGTGCGTAATCCATACATACTCAATCACATTTCTGGTACTTGCATTAACAAGACAGTTATTGCTTCATGTAAGACTTAAAATTATTCCAAACAACTTTCAATTTTATTAAATGTTGAAACCAGAAATGTGGATAGTGCTTTATTATTATTATTATATACATGTTTACTTTTAAATTTAGGTTTTGAGACCTGAATTGAGGACTGCAGACGATGCATTTCCTCCTGCTCAGATAAAACCATCTCAATCTCATATGCTAGTGAGTATAATATTTTTCATTTTCCTAATGTTGCTAACTTTTTTTATGTATGAATTCAGCATAATAAATTTATACCTTATTTTTTTTATAGTTTTAATATATATCATAAGAAAATGTAGCATATTATTTCCTCTTTATCTCTTAATTAGTATCTCTTTATCTTTTAATTGTGAAAAGAAATAGTTTTGAATGCATCATATTACTTATGGAAATGCTTGCATCAGTTTATATTAGCATAGAGTTAAAATGTTTTTGCAATTATTATATTACATGATTAATATATTACTTTACTAAACCTTTCTTTCTTCCCCCCTTTTTCAGGACAAAGAAATCAGAGCTATCTTCCTTCGAGCATTCTCTCACCTACTTCAAGGTTATCGTTCATGTCTCACTATCATCAGAATTCATTCTAAACCATTTATTGCTTTTCATAAGGTTAGATCAATATTACTGCATTATACACAACATACATGCCAATATTCATGCTTTATTATTAGTAGTAGATGTCTATTTCTTAATTGTTTTATTTTACTTTATTTATATATTTATTTTTGATACTGAGTTTATGTGCTTAGTAGTGCAGTAAATCCTTGCTGAAAGTGGACTTACTGAATGCAGTTTTGCATAAATGCATTAATTGTTTCCATTTAATTTGCCACTGCTAAATTTCATTTATATGTAGTTCAACATTCATTAAGCATTGAATACTTGCTGGCATGAGCTGTTACCAATGTTTATCAACAATCTTAAAGGATTTCCATTGATTGAAAATGAAGTGAGCAATTTGTATGGCTTTCAGATATGAAAGAAAGAAAAGTCAAACAATTAATGAAAAAATGATGAATGAGGAACTGGATGATTTTATAGTAGCGGACTTAAAGCAGTGATAATAAAGAAGGTGATAAAGTGCCTTTCATTTATAAGAAGTTAATTAGAAGTTTTATAGAAGTTATTTTGCATTGGAGATTGACTCAGATGAAGGTAGCAGATTACACTTTATTAGAGGCATTGGAAAACTGTGCTTCTTACCGTGAAACTTTAAGAGTTGTGTCAATCATTGTTCAAGTAAAAATTATGAGTTTTTTTAACCTGTGAGCACGCGCACCAAAATTACGAACAGGAGAAGGAGCGCTGGGTACCAAAAGCAATTAATACGTTTTAAATTGCATTACTGATATAAATACGAGTATAAATGTGGATTAACATAAAAAACAATGAAATTTAGAATATTTTAAATAATGTAATAAATGAAGTACTCAGCTTACAATTATTTTGCACATCTCTGGCAGATTGAACACATATGCTCCATACAAATACTGATATTACATTTCTCGCATAGAAACCATGTCTTTCTGTCCTTGTTTCTAGGGCACTCAGCGCATCTTCTGTAAATGTTTTTCATCTTTTTAGATGGTGGTTCCATATTGCAATCTCCTGAAATTATTTTTTCTTTTAGTTTCAAAGGGAGCATGATTTGCTACCGCCGTTGATTTGAGTATTCTTCCACTAACTTATATATTATTATAATATTTTTAGAACTAGTCCTAATATTCGTTCAGAATTTTTTTTTTTTTTCCATATCGGGCCATTTTTACCAACATAATTTTCATTATTTGATTGATTTTCTGATTCACTATCGTAATTCATTGTCTGTATCACTTGTCTGTTGATGAATTATGATTGCTGTTGTATTCTTCATGTATTAATTCTTCCTCCTCTTCGCTAAATGATTCATCATCTGTTGAGATGGTTTCTAGCATATTTCTCAACCTTTCCATTTCTTAATCATAGCTTAGATGCCTCTCCATGCTTACTATCTAAGAAAGTGAGGATGAAAATCTGAGAGATGCGAGAAGGCGCACAGTGTCACATACCCAAACGGTACAATTCTTAGAAAAGTATTCAAAGAATCACTTCACAGATATCCCAGCTTCAAAAATGTGACCTTGAATTCAGCTACAAAAGGTTTTGCGCGTTTCCAGGAAAGGGGTTTGAAGATAAGGGATAAAGAATATGCCCCCGAGTATGAGATACCTGGCACGCGTGCTCGTGGGTAAAAGATAATTTTATGAAAAATGAAATATATAATTGAAAATATTTTTTATTAAAAATCAACATATGTTTAATTTTTCCCATTAAACTATAACAATATTTAGGTTTGTTTAAATTATACATACTTTCTTATTCTTAATTATATATAATGCATTTCTTCCACTGAAAGTTAAATTTGCAGAATGCAATTTTCCATATATGCAATGTATTATGTATATGCATCTTAAAATATGTCCAAAAAATTACGACAGTATATTAAAAGTACAAAAATCCAGGTATAAAGTACCTGAAGCAATTAGGCATTATCATGAGAGTTTTGGAAAATATGGAGTTTCTTAGTGAAACTCTTGGCCATTTTAAGGGTTCAGTACAGTACAGTACATGTGGGAGAAAGGACAGTTTTCTGCAAATTTCATTTCAGGATCTGCAGGAATCCATATCCATGAATATGCAGTTCAAACTTGGGATGGAGATGTTACTCTCTGCAAAGTGTATACAAATGGTCATCTGACTTGGAAAATTGAAACCATCTGGTTTGACCAGTTATTAAGATCCTGTTAATTGTCATATGCAGTTGTCTCTCTACATATCTCAAGTTTGCACCTTGGCAACTTATCTGAATGTCATCAACATACAATGTACCTGAAATGGAAATTATTTTAAAAAAGAGTTTATTTTTAGACTGAAAAAAGTTACATTTTAGGTACTGTCTTGAGGTATGCTCTCCTCATAGTAAAAGATATCTAGCAACACAGATGCAGTCCTCAACTCGAAAAGTCATAGCCTTTGAAAAATTCAGGTTGAAAATTGATAGGCTGCTGTGCAAGCCACTGTTATAGAGATCCATAAAATGCTATATCTCTGGAGTCTTATCATAAGCTTTGTCTGTTTAAAAAAATACTAAAACCAAATGGTTTCTTTTTATGAATGCATGATGGATAGAGACCTTTAAATGAAGCATGTTGTCCAAGGTTGCTGTACCTTTATGGAAACCACTCTGATAGTCTGAGGTTATTCAGATTTTCTCCAGATAGTGGACGAGTCAGCAGTTTACCATTTTTTTCAAACAATTTGCCAATGCATTTCATAATTGGCTGGTAGTTTGTTGGGTTTCTTGGGTCCTTATCTAATTTAACATTTGGGATAATGATAGCTTTCTTCCGTGCTCTGGGAAGATGTTCTATATCCACACTGTGTTGAAGCCAGAAAAACATTTATCGATTTACAGGAAAGATGCCTTATATGTAACAAATTGCATCACAGTCTGAGCTAGATCTATATGTCTTCACAACAGGACTTTCTTAGCTCAAGAATGGTAAATTCATCATTATGACATTCTGAGGTGGGAGAATTGAACATGTTAAGAAGTTTCTCAATGCTTAGCTTGACAAAAAGAATTGTCTTTGAGTAACTGTTGCCTCTATATATTCAGGGCAGGAATATTCATATACAGTCAAAAGTCGTTAATTCAGACACCCATAATCCGGAATGATCTATTTCCGGACCTCAAAGCTACAAACTTTCTGCGCATGTGTCGTATTGACGCATGCACATAGGCATTTACATATGCGCATAAGATCTTTACGGCTGCGAATATGCGTGTGCACATGCGCATAATACGTTTACGCATGCGCGTTTAATGTATAACGGACAGTATAAGCTAAGCTAAAATTATCTAATTCAGTTAATGTTGCAGATTGCGTTGTTCCTTAATCTTTGAATTGGATCCGCATTATTATTTTTTTGCAGACTGTTAGAGCAATTTTATAAAAGTAAGCTTGAACTTTCAATTATGCCAAATAGAATTTCCGATATATATTTACTAATATGCAAAGGATCTACAAAGCGAAAGTATGTTTCGAAATCCGAAATCTGTTTATCAATTTCACGCTGCTCTTGCAGCGGGCGGGAATGCCGCGGCGCGCAATGAATTGGAAGTTGATCTGTTAGCACTATCCTTATCTTCAGGGCAGATGTTTTTATTTTATTTGGCTTATAATTCCTTACTAAATAAAGTATTTCATCTGAATGTACTCTGATATGATTTAAATCAAGTTCCTCGTCATTATAATTCGCTTCCGATAGTGAAGAAAGTGACAGAGAGGTTATTGAAAACGAAAAGATTTTGATTGACAAATTAGTCGGTATTCTCGACACAGTAATTATAGGGCTTGAACAGCGGAACTTTGTAACTGAAGAAGAAATTATGTCTGTTTTTAGAGAAAGTGTTATCACATAAAAACGAAGCAACTTAAACAACTTACATTGAAAGAAATGTTTAATACAGTAAACAAATAAATATTAAGCTTTTTCTTTTTGTAAATTTTGATACCCTTTAGATCATAATTGTTATTTCATAAATTACGGTTTCATATTTTTAATTTTGTAATTTCTGCATGCCATCTTACCATATTTAAACTGATGATCTTATAATCCGGAAAAATCGATAATCCGGAATCGCCGAAGTCCTGATGAGTCCGGATTAACGACTTTTGACTGTATACACTGAAGTGACAAAAGTCATGGGATACCTCCTAATATTTTGTCGGTCCTCTTTTTGCCGGCGAAGTGCAGCAACTCGACGTGGCATGGACTCAACAAGTCGTTGGAAGTTCCCTGCAGGAATATTGAGCCATGCTGCCTCTATAGACGTCCGTAATTGTGAAAGTGTTGACGGTGCAGGGTTTTGGGCACGAACTGACCTCTCGATGATGTCTTATAAATGTCCGATGGGATTCATGTCGGGCGATCTAGGTGGCCAGATCATTCGCTGGAATTGTCTAGAATGTTCTTCTAACTAATCGCGAACAATTGTGGCCCGGTTACATGGCGCATTGTCATCCATAAAAATCCCATCGTTGTTTAAGTACGTGAAGTCCATGAATGGCTGTAAGTGATCTCCAAGTAGCTTAAGGTATCCATTTCCAGTCAATGATCGGTTCAGTTGCACCAGAGGACCGAGTCCATGCCATGTAAAAACAGCCCAGACCATTATGGAACCACCACCAGCTTGAACAGTGCCTTGTTGATAACTTGGGTCCATGGTCTGTGCCACACTCAAACCCTACCATCAGCTCTTAACAACTGAAATCGTGACTCATCTGACCAAGCCACGGTTTTCCATTAGTTTAGGGACCAACCGATATGCTCACGAGCCCACGAGAGTCGCTGCAGGCGATGTCGTGCTGTCAGTAAAGGCACTCGAGTCGGTCTTCTGCTGGCATAGCCCAAGGAAGACAAATTTCGCCACAGGGTCCTATCCGACACGTTCCTCGTACGTCCCACATTGATTTCTGCGGTTATTTGACACAGTGTTGCTTGTCTGTGAACATTGACAACTCTACGCAGACATCGCTGGTCTCGGTCGTTAAGTGCAGGCGGTC